GATAAAACCCAGCAGCATCCAGAAGGAAACCAAAAAAAACTAAAAAGATCTGTTCAGGGTTGTACAGACACAGATTTTCAGTTATAATACTATTAAAAAATAGTTTCGCTACATAAAAATGGTTGAATTTTTGAAGCAAGAAATTTTAACATGCCCGAAATCCACACACCTCAAGTAGCATGAAGTACAGATAACAAGCACATGTACCTCCTGCTACAAAGAGCTCCGCTCACTGTTTCAGTGGTTTATTTCCTGCTTCGTTGTTCAGCATTTTGTTTTTTCCCTCATTGCATTCCTCCTCATAACACCAGAGTGCCGTTATGCAAGTAACACAGAACGACAGCCACCCAAGTAGTTACTTAAGCAATGCAACAGTGCACACATGCACATAAATGTTCTCCATTCGCTTAGGACACCAAGAGCACTAAAAGCAAGAAAAATGCTTCTCAAGGACGTTTCTCCTTGGATTAAATCAGCAGTTCTTCGACTGTGCCTCTGTTATGCGGGGGGTTAAAGGTAAAGTCAGTCGTGCTAATCCAAGTGCTTATTTTTACAAATTCAGCAAATAGTTTTTCATGGTCCACAAGCTGTCTGTTCTGTGTGCACACTACAATAACAGGGATAGTTTTTGCACAAATTCCTCTACAAATGGGAGAAATAACTTCTCACTCACAGACCTCATAGCTTTAGTCACAGCTTTGTGTTCCATCAAACTAATAACAGGGATCCTTCACACTCAGAATACTTCTATCAATCCCTGCATGCTTTCCATGAGGGTTAATTCAGATACATTTAAAAACACCTTTACCTCCTTTTTAACCTGCTCAGGTGGAATGGTAGCTTCCAAAGCATATCTGACTTTAAGTCTTTTCTTCCCTGTTCATAGGGGAAGTTTTTACCCAAGGAAGCAATTTGTCATTGTCTTGGGTTTTATATGTAGATTCCTTTTTCATTATTATCCTCCTATTATAGTTTACTTCCTGTCTTCCTTTCCTTTTCCACTTGTATGACCAGTCCCTTCTTACCAGTTTGTCCTTGAAGGATTTTGTCCAAATTCTTCTTGTATTTGATCTGTGTTGCTTCTTTCTCTGTCATTATTATTTGTTCTTTCAGCCTGCCTTTGTGTCCTCTTATATGAACAGACACTGTTACTGTAAGAACAGACTCAAATATAGCACTGCTCATGGAAAAGCTCAAGGAAGAACAATGAGCCCAACCAGAAGAAATGTTCCTTTACAACAGTGTTGGTTTTGAGGATTGTTTCACGTATGCTTTTCTGCATGTTTCCAGTAACCCCCAAGCTAGGGCTAATATGAGGCTGAAAGTATAAACCTTGAGCCAGTCTCTCCACTTGATCTGCTAACTTCAGACAGTTGTTTACTTGGCAGAGCATTGAATCTGGCAGTTACCCATCTGATCCTGCCCACCAAGTTTTCCTGGAGCCACTCTTTCATAACCCCCTGGGTTATGAAGGGGAGTAGAAGCCTCTCCTGCTTCTAAATGTGCTGGACCAGCCAATGCTTTTCCTGTCCTTGAGTTTTTTGCCAGTCCATTTGACCCTTCTAATTTACAAATTAACTAGCAACTATTTCTGCATATGTGTCAGCTGAGGTTTTACCTGTTCTCAATCGCAGGCAGTCAATATCTGCTGCGTCACGGTGTCTGCTTCTGAGGAAAAAGTCCCCTTGCAGTCTGCCTGTGGATCATCAGTGCAGTACCTAAATCAATCTAACAGCTAACTCTCACTAATACTTGATGCTGTGCTTGAGTTCTTTTCTGTTGCTTGTTTGACAACATTATATAAGATGTATTTTTTGGTTCAGCAATGAGAAAGAGACATCCATTTGCCATCTAAGACTGGAACATTCCTCTTTGTTCACCTGCACCTAGAGGTTAAAGTGGGACGGAACGATCCAGAAAAGCATTCCTGCGCCTTCAGTTAATGAGTAATTACATCTGATGGGCTTCATGTCCTGCAGCTATTGCCACCGAGGCAGTTAAGTCACCCAAGGGACCTGCGTACATTTCCTGCAACATTTCAAATAGCTCAACAAATATGAGCAGTTTGGCACACAGTGGGTCTCCTACTTAAAGGTATAGTTGTTGTATTTTCCAGGCCAAAAAAAAATGCTAATGTGTGTTATTTTACTCTTCGCGAAGGGGAAAGATGTAATAATGAAAGGGCTAGACATGAAGATGAGAGACTATTGTCAGTGCACAGCAGAGCACAGCAGGCTAAACTGGGTGATTTGCAGTATTGTTTACAGTTTTCAGTGATGGACTAGATGCAGTGGTGCAGGGCAGAGTGCGGTCTCCATGGTCACCATTAGGTAAGGTCATGGGTTGCAGTAGAGACATTATAAGAGACAGAAATGACACTAAATTTATATGAGAATTTTTCAACTGCAAAGATGGTGGCAGATACACCTTCCAGAGGAAAACAGCTTTTAAACCCGTATTTGTGAGATAAGTTGGCAAATTCTGAACCGATATTCTGCGCATGCAGTTTTTGTTTTATGTTTAATGTTAATCAAAAACTAATCTAGATAATCTTTCAAAATAAGTGTGTTTAGGTATGGCTGCAGGAATCGATTCTAGGTGCCCTTTTGAAAGAGTCATCGATTTAAATTTAAACCAATAATGCTCTTTAGCAGCACTTGCCAAATACTACTTTTATGCTGCCTTTATACAGGCTAGAAACTGGAAAGTAGCCCTGATGGTTGATGGTTGATTTAACATATGTATGGAAGAACTTAGCTGGCAAAATCCACAAAGAGCGTCAAGCCTGAGAAACAGACTTATTTGTTATGGAGTCATTTCCCTCCAGTGCACTGGTACACCAGTATTTATTGTTCCCCCACCTGCAAAATCCCACTTTAACCTCCACCTACACAGAACCTACACAGACATGGGTTACTCTGCCTTTACTTTAACACAAGCATTAACACCAAAAAACAAACACAGTATATATTATATTATATTTATGTCTTTCCTTGCTGCTATCTTCTTCTGCGCCTCTAAATCTGTCTCACTTTGCCCAAACCTGTTTGCCTTACTGTATGTTCTCCACTCTGAGCAGCTGTTTCATCCTCCACAACTCCCTGCAGAATTTTCATACTGTACTGAGGCAGTGAATGGGCTGACCTGTCCCTGCGTTGAATACTAAACAGCATGTCATTCATGCTCTTTGTTTTACTTGCGTGAGAATGACAAAGAAGTCTGACAGACGCAGATGACAAATGGCAGACGGCAACTTGAAAACACTGAGCTCCGAAATGGCTTGTCAGCAGCTGTTAGTGAATCAATCACACAGTGTGAATAAAACTAAAAGCACTTTTAAAATTTCACTTTCTACTGATTTGAGCAAATAGCAAGTTTTGGTTGTTTTCTTACATTATCTTTGATGTGCACTCACCAGCCTCTTTCTTAGGTACACTTGATCAACTCAATAAACGAAGTATCTTATCAGCTCATTACATAGCAGCAACTCAGTGAATATAGGCATATCAATATTTGAGTATCAGAAAAGTGACTTAACTAACTTTGAACGTGGCACAGCTGTAGGTACTAAACCACTCATCTACTGGGATTTTCCCACACAACCATCTCTAAGGTTTAAAGAGGATGGTCTGAAAAAGAAAAATATCCAGTGAGTGGCAATACTCTGGAAATGGTCAAACTGCATTGAATTGATAGTCAGGCACCAGTAACTCAAATAACAACCAAGTTATAACCAGGACATGCAGAGGAGCATCTCTAGAGACGCAACAAGCAGTGAAGCCGTGGGCTGTAGCAGCAGAAGATCATACCGGGTGCCACTCCTCTCAGCACTGAACAAGAAACTGAGGCTAAAGTTTGCACAATCTCACCAAAATTGTACAATAGAAAATTGGAAACATGTTGAATTCTCATTTTCTGCTGCAGCATTCAGATGTTAGGGGCAGAATTTGGTGTCAACAACATGAAACCATGGATCCATCCTGCTTGTTTTAGTGCTTCAGGTGATGGTGGTTTAATGGTGCACGAGATATTTTCTTGGCAAACTTTAGGCTCCATCATTTAAATGCCACAACCTACCTGAGTATTGCTCTTGATAGTGAGCATCCTTCTATGACCACAGTGTACCCATCTTCTGATGGCTGCTTCCAGTAGAATAACAAACCATGTCATAAAGCTCAAATCATCTCAAACTAGTTTCTTGAATATAACAGTTAGTTCCCTGTATAGAAATGTTCTCCACAGTCACCAGATCTCAATCCAGTAGAGCACCTTTGTGATGTGGTGGAACAGGATATTCACATCATGGATGTAGAGCCAATAATACTGCAGCAACTGTGTGATGCTGCCATGTAAACATGAACCAAAATCTCTGAGAAATGTTTCCAACACCTTGTTGAATCTATGCCATGAAGAATAACGGCAGCTCTAAAGGCAAAAGGAGGTCCAGCCCAGTACTAGTGAGGTCTACCTTATAAAGTATCCAGTGAATGTGCATAGAATACAGTAGCATCAGCTACTGTTGTGTGTAGGCTCTTCATACAAATGATTAGTAAGCAGCAGTCAACATCCGACCCATTCATTCATGCAATATAGCTTTGGATGCGAAGAAAATATATATGCTTAAGACTGGATTAAGGCTAAGAGGAAGTATGAAGCCTTCATTAGTTCGAACCATGTAATGCTATGTTAATTTGCCCTCTTTGATAGTGTGAAAATGTATTTCTATCTTTAACAGCTTAATAATTTATTCTATAAATGAAGTTTCAGTCATGACTAATGAGTCATGTGTTTAATAACGCTGAGTTTATAGAAGACACATCTAAAAGCCAGACTGTAGTTAACCTAAATCTTCATCAAGAATTTAGTGTGTTTTTTCATGTCCCCTCATGCTGTAGTATAAAAAAATGCTAAATGCTCAGCTCTCAGATACATATTAGTGTATGAAATTAACTGTACAACATTTCATCAGTGAATGTATCTAGAAAAAGAAATAGACTAACCTCCATGAACATAGTCATGTAGTGTACAGTCTGAAGGGCCCACCAGATGAATCAGACTCGACTGGCTAAAGCCAACAGTGTGCTTTTCTGCAAGGCAAACAGACAAACACACATTCAACAGAAAAATAAAAAAATAATAAACAATTTAAGGTAGAGCTTGACGAACAGGGCCATCGTATCATTCAATATAAGCCATTTACCAATATATTGGTACTGATATGTATAACCAGCAGTGACAAATTAAGATTTGAAACAGAAAAGAAAAGGGAAGGATGGGAAAAACACCCTTCGGACATGTTATGTGGAGTGGGTTTGCAGAGTTTGTCCACCAGAGGGCACTCTTGCAACTTCCCCGTTGGCAAGGCACTTAGCAAAGGCACATACACAACTAATCCACAATTTTACTGTTATATTGTGTTAATAGTGACTCAAAAACAAGTGCACATAATAAATAAACAGGGAATTATGTTTGTTTTGTGTTTCTGAAAGAAACAAATCTGTCTATCTGTATTAGTCTTAAAATATGTCTGTATCGGTCAGCCTAAAAAAAATTGAATTCATTTAAAAATAAAATGTGTGAGCAAAGCAAGCCAATGCCAACAACACCTTCATGCATAAATAGATTCTGCCATGCTACTTGCTGATCACATACCTTTTGGTGGATCCTCTGATGAAGCAGCGTGACAAAATTAGGGAATTCGATTAGAGTCTTTACAGTTTTAATATGGATGAATACATGTATATAGCACCTAATGATGAATACAATACTTTTAATGCACACCCGTAAATGTAGAACACATGACCACTCAATCCTACAACATGTAAACAAGAAGCAGAGGCCTGACTACTTATAGAAAATACTACAAAAGAAGAAACATAAAAGTAGAAGAAGAAAATAAAACAGATGTCTTTGCCTGGACATTTAGTGAGAGTGGTGCTGAAACTGGTGAGATCAGAGTGTGAATGTTAGATTGAAAGCACTTAAACGGAGAAATAATTGTTGGTATGAATGGATGAATGAGCCATGTTGTGTGAAGCACTTTAAGTCATCAAGTGGAGTAAAAAAGCGAAATATAAGAACCAGCCAATTTGCCATTCGTGTGTGAAGACAGTCAAAGTAAAACACATACTTTAGTGGCTCTGAAAAAAATCGGCTTAGGAGGTGTCTTTAAAGCTAACTCAAGAGGGTATCACCCCCTGCCAGAGAAAGAAAGCCTCAGAAATGAGAAAAGAAGTGCCCACGCAGCAGTGTTTCCAAATGGATCCATTTCTGAGTTCTTCAAGTGCTCTTGTGAGGATGCTAGGGCCCACGTGTTTACATGTTAAATGTTTAAATGTATTCCTGTGGACACGCTCTGAGAGCACTCCAGGGATTCTTCACTTGCTTGATTTATCATTGTTTTATCTTGATATTCAGCAATAATATCTCTGTGTTTTAACTTTGAAAAAAGCATTTGCTTTTGACTTCCTGCTGCAGCTCAGCATTAATTCATGGTGCCAGCAGTGAAAATACATCAAAAAACTAATTGCTTCTCCCGTCACTGCATTAATTGGGCAACAACAAAGATGGCTGTACAGTATTTTTAGTATTTTTATGGCATACTATTAGCAAACCCCATGAGGGAGGAAATGGAAGAAATTTCACTCATATCTGCATCATCACTGAAAACTTGTAAGATAGGGAAACGACTTCTATAGCTGTGGTTTTGTATCTGCAAACTGATATGGGACCCTGAGCTTGAATATATTACCTGGGTTGGGTGGAGATGGCATCATCTCTTCAGGCCTCGCCTTGGTCTCCAATCTCTCCATCTTCTGAGCCTCATAGCGCTTCCTGCCCTCCTCCTCTTGTTCAGCACTAGCATACTGTAGAAAGAATATATTCAACATGCTGAACACTTGTGCATAGATCCACTCGAACACCACTCTCTGCACAAATGCACGAGGAGTACAGCAAAGAATTGCAACAAGCAGGTATTCAAAACAAAGATGAGTGAAAGGGACTTTTCACATTGTTAAATGTCAGTCATTTCTATCTTGACCATATAGCCTTGCTCGTGTCATTTTAGATGTGGGGCTGGGGGAAGGTGGGTGGAAAGGTCACTGAGACACAGAGAAGCTGCCACAATTTTAAGATGCAAGCAATTTGAGTTTCCATGTACCTTGATGGGTGGCACCTCCATGATCTTGTCAACATTTTGCAGAGAGCAGGGGACGTACCACAGCGCTGCCTTGTTGGCCAGCTTTTTGGCACCTGCAGTCACAGAGAAAAGGTTGAGTACTTGTCCTAGGGAAAATGTCAGGGAACGCGTCATTTCTACCAAATGAAGAAGCAACGTTTTTGTGACCATAATCTAATTGGCGAGAAATTTTGACATCTTGTCTTTCAAATAAAACAACAATGGAGCAAAGAATTTTGAAACGGCTGTTGTCAAAACAGACACTTTTATTAATACCACAATAAAGGCCACTTCAGTTTTTAACAAGTCAATTGGCGCTGCCTGTTTGCAAAAGATTCGTCTTTCTTGTGAAAAGAAAAGGAGAAGAAAACACTTTGTGTTCAAACACAATAGTTGTTGCCTGTTCAGAAAACAAGTACTCACAGTCACGTAGCTAGCTAAGCCCGGCGTATCTGTAAATCCTGAATTTTCTGCATTTCAGTGTTGTAATTATGAAACCAATGAAACCATGGCAACTCATTCATCATCAAGTGTCTGCACAAATATGTATGTTGGTTATACCACAGTGTAATGCTTTGGCAGTTGGAGGCTGTAGCACTGACTCTGAATTCCTACAGAAAATTCAGAACGAGATGATCAGAAAACAAAACTCATAGAAGTCACATTACATCGCAATCAGCCAGCAAGGTTGTCATAGTGATATATCTGTTCTACTCTGCCCACACTTTTTCACTTAATTTGCTAACACACACAGAGAGAGAGGGGCTATTTTAGGTTGGCGTTGTTATGGCACGCAGATTAAAGGCAGCATCGGGGCAGCAGGTTGAAGTGAAATTAGTGTTTTAAAGGGTTTTTTACCTACAATATCCGATTAACTTTTCAGCTTTCGAGCTTTGAAGTCCTTTTTGAGGCCTGAATGAGCAAAATGTTTTATTGAACGTCTTGCATTTTTATTACGATAACTTGAGTCAAATTTCATAAATGTGCATGACCACAGGCTTAAAAATAAGGCATCTTTACAGCCTTAGAGAAAATATGTCATTTAATATGTGTCTCAGCGGTGAACCAGCTGGGATCTTTGCATGAGGACATGTGAAGTTAAGAGAAGAGAGCTGAGCGAGCAGCTTTTAACAGGCTACTCCTGGGAAAATAGCATTTGCATTTTACACCCGAGTTAAAAACTGTGCAGACAGCCAGGCCTCGTTTCCATGCCAACCATGCTTCTTTCCTCCTCCTCTCATTTGTGCCCGCCTTTGTCAGCAACCAGGAAGTTGCCCACAGGAAAAAGGGAGGGATATTTACATATCCTTGACTCTACCCAAGACTGAGTGACTCTACTCTATTATTAGCTACTGATGGACCTTGAAGTGAACTGTGTTTAGGGTGGTGGGAGAAACGAGAGAGAAGCGAGAAGGGAAGAAGAAAGGATGGAAGAACCATTCCCAGTACGACTGATGCCCTTTTTGATCGAAAAGGAACCAGATAACCGGCTTTGAATTTAAAATCCCTCTACATCAAATGGAGACAATGTCAATGTTTGACCATATCCTCGTCCAGGCTGCAACCTTTTATCCTTCACAGTTCATCTACTGAAACAGCACATATTCTTTTGCATCACGCTTACAGGCATAGCACATTTTGAAGGCAAGACAAATTTGAGGCAGACCTTGAAAATACAACAGTTTCACAATGTGCCCCTTAGGGCTAATTATTAGATCTTAAGATAACTCTGCATGCTTTTCTCAGGGACACAAAGTACACATATGATCCCATGCAGTGAAAGTTGTTTATTTTCACTGTTTCTTCAAGATTTTTATGTGCAGTATCAGAAGAAGCAGTCTATGTTCTGCCAAAAACAAAAATAAATTATGCAAAATCTAAAATATACCCTCAGCGCAATTAGAAAGCATTTAGATAACTTTACTTTAGCATTTGTTGTGTATAACGGGGACGTAGGTTAGCATTCACTTCACAACAGGGAGTGTATGAGTTTGAGCCTTTCTGCTGTTTTTTTTACTGTGTTTGGTGATTTTCTTTGCACCCCAGTTTGCTCCCACAGTCCAAAGTACTGCATGTTAGATTAAACATTGATATGTGTACTGTAGGTACAGATATGAGTAAGCTAAAACTTTATGTCATCTGTGAGACTGGAAAAGTGCAGTGGACATGTCAGTTTAGTCCTAAAAGTAGCAATTTATGTAATATAAATCAGTAGGTTTCCTCATATGTAATATGGCCCCCTTGTTAAAGGTATATTTTTTTCTGTCACAACATCAAGGAATAAATAGTGCCCTTAAAGCTGTAAGCTAATGATAGTTATATGAGAGCAGATGGGTGCTGGTGCTGTACGTTTTACGTCCAATGGATTTGATTAGTCGACTAATCGCAAAAATAATCGGTGACTAGTCGACTATCAAAATAATCGTTTGTGGCAGCCCTAATAAATATATAGTGCTACCCTTCAGCCTCCTAGTAGACATACCTGTGTTATAAATGTGAAACTGCTCTGATTTTCAAAAAAGTTGGCCTCTGACCTTGAAGTCAAGGTCACTGAGATTTAAGCTTCACAGAGATTTTCAGCAGATGCAACCATGGTATTGATTTGAAAATTCTACACAATCACAAACTTGGGTGTCCACAGCGCCTCGCCATATACCAAAGATTAAGAGGTGGGGTTTTTTTTAGGTTTTTTATAAAGATTACAACACAAATAACAATTTTTAAATTGTTATTTGTGTGTGTTTTAAAAAAGAAAGAGGGAGATTGTTAACTTGTTATTTTCTGTTATATCGCGAGAGTACTGTTGCCTGCGGTGTGTTGTTCTTATTGTGGGTGAGCGGAAAAACATGACGTAAGGAATAAAGTGCTTGAAGTGAGACTATGACGTTGTGTATTTTGACTTTACAATATTCTTTTATTCACCATATCACTGAAATGTGGGAGAATCCACTGCAGAAAGATCAATGCTTTAAGTTTTAATGATCCAGTCAGAAAAGATGATTCTAAAAGTCATCAACTGACTCCAAAAGCCCAGATCTGAACCACCTGTCTGCTGAAAACAAATGCACCAATCAAACAGAAGCCTGAATTTCATGGGCCAATCGGAATGCTTGATCTAGTTGTCCAGGACTAACTACTGACATACTATTACTCTGTGGCCAAACCCTGCCAAATCTGCCTCGGTGCACCTGTTGAACGACTGCTTCTAAATCCAAGACCCTAACTCCCATCAAAATCATTTTCAAACGGTGACGATCCCGAGGACCTGTTCTATACAACAGTGTGTTCTTCATGTTCCTGCTGTCAAAACTTTGGCCACAGGAGCAATTTAAAAAGTGGGGTCTTTCCTGCTGTTGAGACAAACTCCTGTCTGAAAATATAATGTATTTCTATGGGTCGGTTATCCCTCCACTTGGATCCACACAGTTTAAAAATGTTTACATCTCTGAGCTTTGAAAGACATGCTGTTGGAAAGACAACAACGATAAGATAAGATAAGATAAGATAAGATAAGATAAGATAAGATAAGATAAGATAAGATAAGATAAGATAAGATAGAACTTTATTAATCCCTCGGGTGGGTTCCTCTGGGAAATTCGACTTCCAAAAAAAAGCACAGCAACAACCGAAGTTACAGTTACAGAATTGTTATATATATATATATATATATATATATATATATATATATATATATATATATATATATATATATATATATATATCATCATCATGGAAGGACAGGCCCCTGCACGGTATGTACCACCGGCAGATAGAGGAGGTGGCTGATATCCAGAAATCCTACCAGTGGCTGGACAAAGCTGGACTGAAAGACAGCACAGAGGCACTAATCATGGCAGCACAAGAACAAGCTCTGAGCACAAGATCCATAGAGGCTGGGGTCTATCACACCAGGCAAGACCCCAGGTGCAGGCTGTGTAAAGATGCCCCAGAGACAATCCAGCACATAACAGCAGGGTGCAAGATGCTAGCAGGCAAGGCATACATGGAACGCCATAACCAAGTGGCCGGCATAGTGTACAGGAACATCTGTGCCGAGTATAACCTGGAAGTCCCGAGGTCAAAATGGGAGATGCCCCCAAGGGTGGTGGAGAATGACCGAGCTAAGATCCTGTGGGACTTCCAGATACAGACGGACAAAATGGTGGTGGCTAACCAACCGGACATAGTGGTGGTAGACAAACAGAAGAAGACGGCCGTAGTGATCGATGTAGCGGTTCCGAATGACAGCAATATCAGGAAGAAGGAACACGAGAAGCTGGAGAAATACCAAGGGCTCAGAGAAGAGCTCGAGAGGATGTGGAGGGTGAAGGTAACGGTGGTCCCCGTGGTAATCGGAGCACTAGGTGCGGTGACTCCCAAGCTAGGCGAGTGGCTCCAGCAGATCCCAGGAACAACATCGGAGATCTCTGTCCAGAAGAGCGCAGTCCTGGGAACAGCTAAGATACTGCGCAGGACCCTCAAGCTCCCAGGCCTCTGGTAGAGGACCCGAGCTTGAAGGATAAACCGCCCGCAGGGGCGTGCTGGGTGTTTTTATATATATATATATATATATATATACACACACACACACACACACACACACACACACACACACACACATATATAAATACAGAGACAAATATAAATAAAATATACAAAGGGGATAAATAGAATAAATAGGAATAAAAAATAAAAATACAAGTGAATTTCACATTTCAAGTATTGAGTCTATTGCACTGTTGACTATTTACAAAAAGTATTGCACAAGGTATTGTACAGTGAGGTGAAGAGGCACTACAGCTTAGTTGTCCCCCCTCCTTTGTCCTCCTGTTTCCTGTTTCCCCTCCCTCTCCCCTCCAGAGAGGAGTTAAACAGTCTGATGGCGTGTGGGACAAAGGAGTTTTTAAGTCTGTTAGTTCTTGTCTTGGGGAGAAGCAACCTGTCACTGAACAGACTCTTCTGATTGTTTATGGCCGTGTGCAGAGGATGCCCAGCATTGTTCATAATGTCCAGCAGTTTCTTTAATGTCCTTTTCTCTGCCACTGTCACCAGAGTGTCCAGCTTCATGCCGACC